TGTATTACTCTGTGCGGCGGCTATCCACCAACTAACTTAAATACTTACAACAAATAAACGGTAGGTGTTTGAATGAAGCTCTTTCTTATGCGAATGCAAATCGATTTATCAAGTTTTATCTGCTAGGGTTATGAAAGTGTTTGCTGAGTAGATCACATCTCAATTTGACCTTTCCAGGCTCTGAAGAAGGCGAAACCGCCGAAACGTCAGCAATTGTGTTCTAATAAATTCTATATTAACAACCTCGTGTCTGCTTATTGATGAAAAGCATTGAAATGACTAATAGTTGTTCAAAAATCTTTCCATCGTGAACTCGTTTCATATCCTATCCCACGTTTGTTTAAAAATTTTTGTCAAGAATTAAATGGTTCATAGTAGGGAATATAGAAAGTGGTTCTTATCATACTATAGTTTAGACTGTGCTGATTGATGATGATCGAGCTATTTTTATGTTCCGGGATGGATCGCAGGCGTTCGAGGCTAAAGATTTTTTACTCAAACAAGCTCAAGTTACTGAGGTCCTAAAAATTGTTTGCTTATGCATATACGATTTTTTCGCCGTGTTACTACATTATTTTAGATCTTATTGGAAGGCCAACAGTATACCGGTGCTGGGGCTACCATTAGGGAAGAATTGTAATTAGACTCACTTGTGATCCCACTTGCCTTCCATAAATGTTATTCGTGTTAATGCACTTCTTTATATCTTCATATGTTTCTCCAATTCCTGCGTTATTTCGTCCTTTGTCAACGTTCAGGTGTTTTTTCTAAGTTGATACTTTGTCCAACCCGAAATTTTTATTTGTTTCTAGCAATAAATTTCTGATAATTTAATTTCCTTTTACGGTTTAGTGAGAGAGTACGCATGTCTCTATTTAATATCATTCGACATTGCAAGTGCATGCGTTGAGTTTCATTTAATTGGTCTGTCTAGAGGGACAGTCGAACTGTTGCAGCATGGACGACAACGGATTTGAAGCTGCTCTGGAGCAAATCGCATCTTTGCTTCAAAGACCAGACCAGCTTGAGAAGCTACCACAGATGCGTAAAAGAGCTGACAGGAAGAAGGTTGTGATTATCGTTGTATAATTTGTTGAGAAATATACTTGAATTAATGCTGCGTTAGAGAAAATTATGCGTAGGAATGGCTTAACTGTCAAAAGCGATCCAGAAGTAAGCAATAAAATTGAAATTCCAAGTACGTAGGAACCGAATCTGAAGCTGCAAAACTTTCGCAAGCTATCATGTCAACTTGACCTTTCCAGACTCTGAGGAAGGTGGAATCCGACGAAAAGTCGGTTTATTTGTAATTAAAAAATAGGACAGCACCTCGTGAAGATGCTCAAATGTAAGGAATTATGTATTTCTCGTTGGTAATCTGACACAAGGTTGATAAGAAAAGGAGAAAATGGGAAAAAATGAAGTATTAAAGTGAAATAAAATAAATTGATCGAAAAAGTAAGGACTGTGTGCTGAGCATTCATGACGAGGTTAAATGAAAATCGGCTTTTGAGATATCGTTACGCTCTGTTCTAGCGGATGTTGATACCGACTACTGCAGAATGGATTGTCCGAAGAAAAACAAACGGTTATCAAAAGACAGTCACTGTCAACAACAACGGTCCTATATAACAGAGCACTGCCAAGTAAGATCACTTCATTCGAGCGGTATTCCATTGGATTCGACTCCATGCGATCATGAAGACCGACATTGGGAAAAGGAACAGCTGTGGACAATCGAATTGGATCAATTCGGCTCTGATGAAGGCGAAGGTGTCGAAACGCTAGCCGAATAAGGTTTCTTGTCAACCTCATGTTATTAATCAATGAAAGAGTATGTGTTGATTAATCGTATAGTATGGGGATAAAAATAGAAATAATGAATATAAAAACAAAAACGTCGAAGTATACCGTGTATACTTCACAAAACTCCTACATTCTGAGTACAGTGTAGATTGGTGGTGGACTTGTTTTTTGTTATACAAAAGAGTAGAATACGTTCTAAAACAATGAAAATATACATAAGAGATCTAGAATAAGGACACGAGGAATAAACAAGTTCCTAATAAGACAAGAAAGGGGGTTACAAAGCGTGAATTTCAGTGGAGAGCGCCGGTGGCGCAGTGCAAGTGATGCTACGTGGTACCAGTGCACCTATCAAGAGTAATTGGTACCAGATTGTCTGAAAATTTCCTTTAAATTCACAAGATATGTAATCATCCTTGGACGAATACTCTAGGACTGCAGAGGAATCGAATGGATCAGAATTCAACGAGACATAATGGAAGTTAAATCCTCAACCAAGCTGCGAATCCGCGCATAAAATTCGTAGACCCTCGTGTACGATGGATGCGATGAAACGAATCCAATGGAATAAAGTACTGGCGTCAGCATAATGTATGCTGTTGTGTCATGAAAAATGCAGCAAAAGAAGAGAGTTGTTTTATGGGGGTACAGGCGCGTTGGCTGGCTTGAGTCACATGCGACTCATGGGGACAATGAGGTGCAGGCAACCGGAGAAAATTAGGAGTTGTCAGTATAGCAATCAAATTCCCTCTGAGCTGTGATACACTTCCTTGTACTTGAAGTGATAGATTATTTTCGGCCATTTACGAGTGATACATGACTCATGCTGTAGCTAATATGCTAATTAGTGCAAACTATTGCAGTAGAATTGGCGGCCTGGCAAATAAGTGATTGGCAAATATATAGGCTGCTGTCGAAGCAATGCTAAGAACGGGTGTTCAGTCACAGTTGGAGGGTATTCGATCTGCTGTTGCACACCTGCATACTGCTGCAGAAGATATCAACTCCATCGAAACAGGGTTTCCTTTACGATCCGTTCATTCACTAATTTGACTTTTGTGTGCGCAGAGATATTTGTTTTAGAATTGCGGCCATTCATCAACGTTTAGCGCCCTTCCCTCAGCTAAGAGAAAAGATGAGAGAGTTGAGAGACGCTAATGCACGTCACGGTTTGTTCGCAGCACTGCTCTTTTCTTCTTGAATACTTTCTTTACCTCTTAATATCATATTTTCCAACACTGTTTAATCTCTAATTGGTTATGCAATTGAAATTTGCTTAAAAATATCTATTTGTTAAAGGTCACTAAGTTTCTAATGCCTACTTCGAATCTGTTGTATTTGTGGTGATCTACAGCAGTTATGGACGCGTATAGCGCAGTGGTTTGAGGCGCTTTGCAAAACACCCGGGATCGATCCCCCACCCACCCAAGGCTCACCAAGCCTTCCATTCCTCTGGGCTCGGCAAGCTGGTACGGTGCCAGACTTGTCAGGGTTGATAGTAGCACTGGTTCGATACATCGTTAGGCCACTGCGATTCATTGTAAACGCTAGATTTGCATTCAATCTCCTCCAAACAATTCTTAATGAAGTCGATTACATGGCGCATCCCTAAGGGATTGATCATCGCCAAGAGCTATATTCTTTATACAGCGATTATTCAGCTATTTTCTAATCTAAGTCTAGTCTGGAAATACTGTTATGTTGAAATACCATCCTTGCTACCTCAAAAGTTTCAGCAAGGTTTGGTAGCTTCGAAATATGTGAGCAAAAAAATAAAGTGTTCAGGACAGTATGCTGCCGCTATGGAGAATTTAAAGCACATCTTCAACATAAATCGCACGATTCACGACACAAAATTAGCTCTGGACCAAGGGAAATTACTTGTAGCTCATAAGAGGTTTGTTAATTTTTTTTGTTAGATTGTGAAATTTATGTTTGTTCGTCCTATCATGTTATTTTTTCACTTGGCTGCATAAGGCTGCGCTGACTTACTTTATTAAGTTATTAATTGTTTAAAGTATTATGGATTTGGAATTGGCTAGGGACGAGCTATTATTCGAAGTGCATAAGTCTGACTCCTCAAATAAAGACTATGAGAAAAATGTTAGTTTGATTTGTATTAATAGACTTCGTTGAACGTTTCTTTCTAAACCTATGCTTTCAGCTTCTGATAACATTCTTCATAAAAGTGGACGAATTGGTAACCGATCTGAGCAGTAATATGTGGTTTGTTATTGGTCGTGCTCTAGAGATGGTGAAGGGTAGTGAAAGTGGCAATGGACCACAAGAGCTGGTCTCTTGTATCCGAATTGTCGAACGTGAAGAACGGTCATTTCTTATTTTTTCATCGAGGATATATGTTGGAAGAAAGTGCAAAAAAGTAAAAAAGCTATGTAAGAATGGAATTTTTTAGAATCGATAAGTATTATGTGGAAAAGAAAAGTCGTGATAATGCATTCATGCCACCTGGTCGACCACGAAACTGGAGGAAGAAAACTTTCGAGGCTAGTCTATGGATATATACATATTAGATTGTTCGGAGATCATTTCAGCCTCTATCTTTGAAGTGGCATTTCTGGTCTTAGAATAAACTTTATTAATCTGAATATTTACTATGTGAACACATTTTTGCCACCAAGAAACAAGTCTTTGTGTTTCTGCTGCATAGAACACTGGTGTTCCGGAGACGATGAAGTCGTTGAAGGCAGTTACTGCTTCATCTTGGTTTCTGAAGCATTTCTCGCTCAGAAAGCTGACGGAATGCTTGACAAAGTGGAAGTCGGTAGGCGAGAGCTCCCTTGACTGTGGTGAATGAGCTTAGGAGCGGTGCTCGTTCACCCTTTAGAGAGTGAGTTGTGCGACTTGTGGTTGCGAGTTATCCTTGGGAGGGTTGATCCCTTCCTGCTAATCAATGCCAGACACAGTCATCGAAGTTTCTTATGCATTTCGTTAATTTGTTTGACGCACATCGTCACCGCAATTGTTTCACCTGGTATTCGGGAAACTGTGGTGGGTCTAACAAGTATCAGACCACCAAACGCTGCGTTTGACCATCTTATGGTGCACTTCACCTTTGTCATAGAAGTTGCATTTTTCGTCAGACACCAGAATACTGTAGAAAAACGGTTCGTTGTCATTGCGCAGAAGAACTGCCGACGATAGCTTAAAACGGCGATTTTTGTGATTGTCTTTCGATTCGTGCGGCACTCATTTGTCGAGCTTCTTCGATTTTGAAGTCTTCTTTAGTTGAGCCGAAACTGTTGAGATGCTTAAGCGGAGTTCTACTGCAAGTTCTCGAACAGTTTTGCACACGTTTCCTCCCAAACATACCGGTGTTTACGCCGCATTACGATCAGGTTTGTGTTCGTGAAAGTAAACTGGTGGGCGGTCAGTAGTAGTGTTCCTGTTCATTATGTGAGAGACCAAGCCTACTCAGGCACTGTTGCCTCTCCGCGTTTGGCTCCCTTGCTTCACATCTCTTGGGCGTCGGAAAATTTCTACCAGCTCTTTCTGAGAGCAATTCACTCCTTGAAACTCACTTGTGAGTCTCCATCCTCTACCTTATTTTGGAAAAGCTGTTTCCGATCCATAAATGCTACTGGTCGTAGTGACTTGAAAACGCTGCTGTCAACGCTAACCCAGAATTCCAGGGAGGACCAACCCGACTGGAACTCATTGATGTTCATAACTAAGACGACAATCACCGTCAAGCAGCAATCGAACTCATGCTCAAAAAAATTCACTTTCGTGAACGATGGATGCTAGGAAACCAACCGAATGCAAGAGATGTTGGCATCCGACCAATATGATGCCTGGTTCTGACCTGTAGACTTTTCAAAAAGACGGTTTATATTATGGTTCAATTATTCAAAGCGAAAGTCTACAAAACAAGCTTAGTAGTGGTACAAAAAGTGGGGTGTTCGAGAAAAATAATTACTAATTAAAGGGTAATAAAGTTTCAAACCTTGGATTACTTACAGAACTTTTTCATATACATATACGTATCGTATATATATATATATATATATATATATACATACATATACGTATATATATGCTTACATGTACAAACATATACTTAAGTGTATATATCGAGTCGTTTTTAAAAGAAAAGTTTTATTTATTGTGGATTTCAGGTGCTTGAAAAGACTGTATGGAGTCGCGTTGAAGGGAATCAATTAGAAGACCGTACTTTGAACAAGGCTTGGCTGGCAAGGTTTGGCGAAATTTTCATTCGTTCCACCTTTACTTTCGTTTTATGTATCATTTTTTCATTAGATATCTGGAAGTGTGTCGAAAAGTGATTGTCGACGACTTGCAGCTGGCACGTGCTGCCGTTCCATGCTTCCCGCCAGATTATCAGATTTATGATAGATTTGTTCACATGTATCATAATTGTATATGCAAGCGGGTTCGTTTTTGAAGAAATCTTTTTTTTTCTAGCAAATAGATATTTAGCTACTTTACAGCTTCGAGAAATAGCAGCAGAACGGTTGGAAAAGAGTGAACTTGTTCAGTTGCTAAGCTGGATACAGACTTATGGGTAAAGTTCCAACTACTCTGGACAGTTTTGGTTTGACAACAGTTAATGCTTAATTTTTGTCTGGTAAATACTCATCCCTCACAATGGTTTATTGACTCATCGTGGCTGGGAGATGTTTATCGGTGTCGGGCAGTGCGGGGGAATTCGTCCCCCCAGTAGGGTCTCCCAATCTAAGAAAGATCCGGCGTATCCATCAGGAAGCCCAGCTAGGATTAAACTAATACCAGGATCTGTCACCGTCCTGGTACCAAACTAGTCGTATGGTGGCAAATCTCCTGATCCACAAGAGTGGCGACTGCCTGTCGTGGTGACGAGCTGGGGCAAACTTTGGCCACTCTGACCTCAGGATTACTGGAAACCACAATGGCTAAACCAGCAAAACTCTGAAAAGACAGAAATTATGCTGTGGTTTCCACAGGCGGTGAGAACGGGCCGTCCAAGTATCTAAGTAGGTAAACGTTCATCAGCAATGCGTTAACAATACAAAAACAATACAAGCTTACCAAACGGGGGTAGAAGGTGGATTACATAAGACATTCATTACTTCTTGGTACTATCTTTTTATAGCCTTAACACTGTTAAGAATCTGCAGTTTGCTTTTATTTTATTTTATTATTACAGCGGAGAAGAACTATTGGGAAACAGACGTCTGCAGATTAACGCATCTGCCCTGTTAGAAGATAATCCTGTACTATCGAGATCTTCATTGAGCTCGTTATATAACAGGTAGGACTTTCTTTGAAAAACATTCTTTCATTGCACTTCATAATCTTGTACTAGCTATTCCCATATTTTAATGTCTACTATTTGCAGTTTCATAGACATGACACGAAATGATATGAAGAATTGGCTAGAAAAAGCATTGAGTGCTGAAAAAGATGTAGGGCTTTTGCATGACTCCTCTGTCTTTCGTCAACCATTTTTTGACAACGATGTTGCAGGATTGGAATAAGCATGTGCGACCGGATGAGGACAATTTTGGTTACTTTTATACGAGTTTACCCAACATTATGTTTGGAATGCTGAGAGATACGGTATCTCTGCGACTTACTCTTCTCCATGCCTTGTTACTGAATTCTCGAAATGCTCTAGTTTTGAAATTCCATTCTAAACAAACCCAAAAATCTTGTTTTAAAGTCCGAAATTAGCAAGTTGTCTGCCGTGGTGTTTTTATTAGTGATAAAAAAGCTAAACACACTCGGCGTTGATCAATCCCTGGAGGATGCGCAGTACATTCGACGTCATTGGGCATCGTTGGAAGTGATTGAATGCATATCTGGCCTTTACAATGACTTGCGGTGGCCTGCCGATGTATTTACCCAGGGCTGCTATCCTCCCAGAGAAGTCTCATATCAATTTGCCGACTCTGGAGGGATGGAAGGCTTGGTGAGGCTGGGACATAGGGAACGATCCCATGTGTATTGCAGGGTGCCTCTGACCAATGCGCTACACAAGCGCCATAAAGTATCATGATTGCTAGAAAAGTGCAAGGCAAAAAATTTTCAACGGGATGTTTTCACGAGATTTCATTGACTGCTGCATATTCCGTCGAATTACACTATTTCTGTAGATATTTTGGGTTTTAACTTTTTGTCATCAGCTGTTGCATAGGATATGGGCGAAATTTCAGCACATTTTTCGTTTCGTTGCGAGCGAGTGTGTTTTCTTTTGACGCCAGGGTGAAGAATATATAGGTGTTGTGGAATATTTTGCGCTCCCCGTTGCTGTATTGTTTTTCTTAAGATCTTTATTGTTAGTATAAAGTGTGCACTTCTTTGTGTAAATGCTTTAACTTGAATTCGGCTTAGTTATCTCTTCAGTAATTTTAAGGTAACACTTGCCAAAGAAGTGAGTATCGAAGTGATTCCAAGCGTCATAAATTTGGCAATAGAAGAATTTTTTGCCTTCGCTAATCGATATAAAGGTGGGAAAACTTTCGTGGTGTACCAAAAAATTTTGCAATCTCCTGAGCGTTTCAGACGCATTTACTTCTTATCGTAACAAGTATTTTGAAAACCGGAATAATTTTCGGGAATTCACGTCTACCATGGTTAGTGTTTTTTTAAGTGTTGAGATCTTTCTCGGGATTCTTTCGAAGTGAACTGAATGTATTTGTTATATTTAGATAGCAATTGCAAACAACTTGCAGACTTGTATTGAATCCACAGACAGATACATGCAACAGGTCAATTTATTATAAAGTTTACATGGGTGTTTTATATATTTTCATGCAAAGATGCTGATAGAACTTCTTGAATTCTTATTATAAGAGAGACTGGTACAGATCAAAATGGATAAAGATGAGTCCATTGTCTAAAAATGAGTGATATGAAGTTAGTGTGGCGCAACTTTATAGATTCTGCTCAGTGATTCCATAATAGTTGGTAGTGACGCTTAGTTCATTACTACAGGTCTAACAAAAGCGTTGCCACGAATGGTTTAATTATTTTCCTCCATTATATGTGAACTAGTTAAAGGATAAAAGGATAAAACTCTCAGCGTTGATCAATTCCTGAGGGATACTCCATACATTCGACTTCATGAAACATCGTCGGAGGTGATTGAGTGCATATTTGGTCTTTACAGTGACTCGCGGTAGTCTACTGATGTATCCAGCCAGTGCTGCTATCATTCAGACAAGTTTGGTATCGATTTGGCGGTTCCGGAGGGATGGAACTCTTCGCGAGCCTGGGTGCCGAGATCGATCCCATGTGCATTGCAGGGCGCCTCCGACTACTGCGCTGCACACGCCCCTTTGAACTAGTTATCCTTCATAAATAGTGTTTGGACGAAGCGGTCTAAAAGCTCTTCGAATTCAAATTTGGTGTTGCTATGATCTAAATAATTTTCCTAAATTCTAGTTGACTTCCGTCTGTTTAGGTGCGTTTGTCAATGGAAAGTGACGAGCAACAAGACAGTTTTGTTGCTGGTCGAAGAGCAATAGGGCGTCAGCAAATCATAGACAACATTGACCGACTGAACACAAGATGGAATAGTGCCGTAGGAGTGGCGTAAGTTCAAGTTCTTCATTGATAGTTGTTTTAATCCTCACTCCCTAAGCTTACCTCTGCTTGAAGCGTAGGATGCGAAAATAGTGGCCCGTCTTCAACTTTAAGTCAACATATCTGAGCTCGTAGTGAATTTTACCAATTGAAGTAAGAACTATTTGAGTTTGTAGATTTTTGTCTACCTACAGGATAAAACTTCTCTTAATATAGCACGAAGGAATTCTGATTTTCTAGACCCTGACGTGTATTCCCTTAGTTCATTTTTTTCATTCCTTGAAATTCCTCATTCTTAGCACATTTAAATTTTAACGAGCACTGTATAAAACTTATAAATGCGATTTATGCGGTGGGAAAAAGTCTTCTATGATTCTATAAAATTCATGTTAAGAATCTGAACTCCTGAAATAATTTCTATCATAAAATTTTCGTCGGTTGTCAAAAACCAGCCTCTTCTAGAAAGAGTTAAGAACGCAAGTGTTATTTCTGTTGTTGCCCAGGAGCTAATCTTGTGTCAAAGGTTGTAATTGATTTAAAGCGCTCTACTATGCTGTAATTTTAGGGTCAATTTTCTCCTTGAGGAGATCTGTGAAGATTTGCGTCCACACCTTGCCGAATTATTTTCGAAAAAATGGTGACTTCACTGTTTCGAGCAGTTTCTTCAAGAAAATTGCCTTGTTTTATGTGCTGCTAATTATCTTTAGGCTTGTGGGGTGTTCTGCTACTGAAACGATTTGTATGACAATACAGGACTACTATGTTGATCATCGTCACCTCCGTCCGGCGACGCGTTGTGCTCTTCTGATGGACTTACAATTCAGGGTCGTTGGAGAATATTTAAAAGCGATAGATTCACGGTAGGCGAACGTAGTTTCGAATCACTCTACTCATAGTAACTCAAAAAACTGACTTTCTGTAAACTTCGGCATAGATGATATATTTATTTATATGATCTTATACACTGATCTTGTTGAGCCAATGCGAGGTTCGTATTGGTCTTCGTTGTCGTTATCGTTGTTGTTGTCGTTGCTGTTGGTGTTGTTGGTCGATGGCTTATAACAGCGCAGCTTTGAGGAAGGTGAAATTGCCGAAACGTCAGCCATCCACCAACAACATCAACAACAACAACAACAACAACGACAACGAAGTCATATACCAACCTCGCATTGGGTCAACAAATTCAGTTTGCAAGATCGTTTAAATAAATATGTACTCATAGTTTTAGTGGAAGGTCGCGTTTTTGCAGTGGTCGGAGGCGCCCTGCAACACACATGGGATCGATTCCAGCAACCTTGGCCCAACAAGTCCTCCATCCCTTCGGGGTCGGTAAATTGTTACCAAACTTTCTGGGAGGATAGCAGCATTGGCTCGATATATCGGTAGGCCACAGCGAGTAAAGGCCAGATGTGCTTTCAATCACCTCCAACGATACTTAGTGAAATCGAGTGCATAGTGCATCCCTAAGGGATTGATCAACGCCGAAACTTTATTCATTATAGTCTGAATGTGCTTGACTTGAATGGTGCGCTCCTAAATTGCCCAACTGAAGTTGTTTAATTGGTTGAAAACATTTCAAAACCGATAAAGTACGGGTATTGTGTTATCTAATTGTATTATGTTGAATAACTGATGATGGCTACAAATTTGTTTGCATCGTAATTTTAAAAAGTAATGCATTTTGCTGCAATCTTTGGATTCTTTCAGTCGTCTGACATTTGCCACATACGAGGAACGGGCTGCAGCTGGGTCCCGAATGAAAGCAGATTCACTACGACTGGAAGGACTTTTTCAGCAACTTCTTGATGAGGAAGATATCAGCGAACCTGTTAGTACCATTTTCACAAATCCTTCCATGTCTACCTACGCCACCCTTCAGTGTTTTACTTATTCTTAGTAAATGAATCGAATTTGTTAGGTTTTTTGAGCCCAGAATTTCACTAATTAGAAAAGATGAAGTTTAATGCAGTGAGTTTTTTGATTGTTTTAAAAAATTAACGGAGTGATTCTTCGATAGTTGCAGAAGTTTTCTCAAAATGTTGTTCATGAAATACTCGTTGAATATTTACTTATGACCGAACTATGATTTTTTCAGTTATCAAATCTAACGATCACCTGGACATTTCAGTTTTCACTCATCTGCTCGTTAATTTCTGCTTGTGGAGAAGTGATCAGTCTTCGCGACAAATCGTTACTTACACTTGAAGTGACAACATTCAGTAGAAAGTATCCAAACTTTCCTGTAGATCTTCTCGCTGCTCTTCTTGCTAGTCGTGACGATGTTTCACGCAGCGAAGCGAAGTGCGTTTCTGTTGCCTCCGCAGACTCATAGTTAATTTTTTTTTTGATAGTTCTGTACAATCATTGAAGTAAAAATTCTTTTCAACGGTTTCAAAACTTCAATGATGCTGAGATATTTGCAAAACTCTGGACCGCAGGTGTCCGCGGTGGGGAACGAACGCGCTAGTATCCTCTCCGGGGAGTAACGCGTTCACCACCACACCATACAGATCCTTTGTTTCGCGTGTCTCTCAGCTAGTTCTATCGATCTTTTGACATCAGCAATCACCCGTCAACGGGATTGATATGGGGGCCCAAATCGGCAACGAACCCAGTTAAGCTGAGGCCGCAGTTATAATCACAATTTAACGTATTATTTACTGCCTACTCATTAAAATCTTTATCTTTGAATACTAATGTGTAATATTCTTTACGTTTTCTTTACGTTGATTATTTTATTTTCGGCTAAATAACTTTTGGTTCCAGATCAGTAGCCGAAGAAGTGATCTCTCATGTGCAGTTTCATCCGAAAGATCGAGTTCTGGACCAGCTTTTTGCGTCTGTTGTTGGTCGTAGTGATTCCTCATCGTGGAAGCCAAATCTCGACATGATGAACATGCTCTCCGCTTTCATGAGAAGGGATCAACCATAATAATAATTGTTTTGAGTCATTACCACAAATTAGTTGCATTAAGAACGATAACGTCTGATTATCATATTATTGAAATTAGCTTGATCTGCGTAAGCGTACCTGCCTGAACTGGCATAAACCAATATTGAGAACCTCGACTTAAAATTATTTCAGTCACTCGGAACTTCTCTATCTATATCTAAAAAGAAGAGCAACACTTTAAGGAATGCAACGCCATTTTGGGAGTGGTTATCCTCTTAACTTCACATTTATATCGTTTTAAAACTTTTTATTTGAATTCATTTGTTTTATTGCAATGATTTTTTTGCTACAATTTTTGTATTCAGTTGACAGCTCATCCACCACATGTTCATATCAGGAGTTTCCCTAGAAAAGCTATTTTTTGCACTAAAATATATCCAAAAACCACAGTGATGATGAGATATTTGCGAAACTTTGGACCACTAGTGTTTGCGGTGAGGAATGAACGCTCTATTGTCTTTTCCAGGGAGTAACGCGTTCACCACAACACCATGCGAGTCCTTCGTTTTGCCTGTCTCTCAGCTTCGTTGTGGTTGTGTTACACGTAATACCCTGCCATAAAAAATTATAATAGGCAGTATATAAAAGAACATTATACAAAAACTGTTTTGAAGACCAGCTCCTAGGTATTATTATTGGTGAGGAGAGTACAAAGACAACAAAAGTATCATGATAGTGGCAGATCTGCTGGTATGAGTTTATTTCAGTTTACAATACATGCGGCAGAAATAAGACATGCCGCAGACCCACATGAAATTGTGGTCTCAATACCGAGATTACATAACGTTCCATAATGAGATAAAATTTGAGAGTTTTATTTTGTTGCATTCTTTTTTAAACAGTGGTAGTCCGTCTCATCTGTGTTTACTTGAGTTCCAAGTACATCTGCTTTTTCGTCTGTTGCGGACGACTTCTCCATCAACTGACCTTCGGAGCCGCTATGATTTGAGCTTACTGTCCACAGGCGCTATGAAGAAGGCGAGGGCGGAGAAGTCTGCAACAATGAGGGTTGTTTTGACTTTCATTTACTCTCTATTCTTGTTTAATCGCAGCGTGTTACGTGAAATCCAACGACAATGATGCTGAGATATTTACAAAACTCGGGACCTCAAATGGGCTACGAACCGACTATCACCTTTGCCGGAGGCTCACGTGCTACCCACGACACCAACCGAGGATTTGGCAGGGCTACTACTTCACGCCTTTTCTCTGTCGATGCAATCATTCCTATTAGTTGATAGTACAGCTGATGGCGAGACAGTGTTTTTGAAAGTCGACTTCCTCTGGACCTCAGAATGATTATCCAATGTCTTGTTGTATTAGTAATCTTGCACTAGGAGTTCAAATACACATTTCTTAAGGATGCTGGGATGTGAGCAAAATCCGGAACTTCCGATGGGTTTCGAACCTGTGACTACTCCTCCCGGGAGCTTACGTGATATCCACAGCACCAACCGAAACCCTTGCTATACCCTTACTATTAATCATACCACCGGTTATTTTTTAGGAAATTTCATTGTGGCAAATGTTGCCTTGTCGCTTTCAAAACTTTAACAATTTGAGTCAGTGGTTGGCTACCGTTTGTTTTTACGACTTATGCGGTCATAGTCCCTTCCAGCCCAGTCCAGTGTACTATAGCACGGTAAATAAAAGATGAAGTTCTCGGCGTTAATCAATCCCTGAGGGGTGCGCCGTGGATTCGACTTCATTAAGCATCGTTTCAGGTGGTTAAATGCATATCTGGCCTTTAGAGTGACTCGCGGTACCATACCGATGTATGGAACTAGTGCTCCTATACTCCCAGATAAGTCTGGTAGCAATTTGCCAACCTTGGAGTGATGGAAAGCTTGATGAGCTACGGGCGTCGGGAACGATCCCCAGTGTGTGTTGCAGGGCCCCTCCGACGGCTTCACCACACGTGTAGCACCATAGAATGGAGTATTCCCACCTAGTAGAGCTCATTTAGACAACATCGTAATATACCTATTGTAATCCATGTCGAAATAAAAAATACGAACAAAATCACTTGATCAATGCCGAGGTTAATAGAAAGTCGGTCGTGGCCATGTCGAAATGTTTTCGTGGTGCCAACGCATCCTGTATCGTGTTCAATGTTGCAATGAATGGCACATTGCGAGCATATAATTTTCAATGCCGACTTTCATTTAACCTCTGAATTAATAATTCGTACGTTTCCGTGTTCTTATGCTTAAAATAGTTTCACTCTCTTTGGTGGCGGTGGTCTAATTTCTCCTGTTACAACATACATTACCCTCACAAAAACACCATATGGCGGCAACGGATCAGAAACCGCCTTTGTGAACGGGCGCTGCCGGATGATATTCTAGCGGTGCTTCAAGACCCTGCACTTGACGCAATGCAAGTAAGAAGAATTCGTTAGTTTATTGTGAGAGTAGAAAAAACGTTGTGTCTTACTTTTATTGCTTAAAACGGACTTGGCTCAGTTAAAGCAGATTCACTGATAGAAACCTCTGATCAGCGAAAGCATCGGTACTCGGTACAACAGGATCCTTCGGGAGCAACATTAACAACCAGAATATCATCGTTTACAACAATACTAACATCAAAACAAAGACAGGGGGTCGATAAGGTTATAGCATCTCGCCGAAATGTATTGCTACCCTCGTCGAGAACAGAGGAGCGAAAGCGATTATATCATCTTTGCTTTGCCGATGACACCGTTCTTACAACAACTATCATTAGCCAGACGAAACGAATGTTAAATGAGTCCGTGGAAACCTTTGAGAAAATTGAAGTTCCTCCAAATCACAGTGTTCATGAAGAATGAATTTGTTTCTTTGGGCTCCCTAGATCAAATCCGCTGAAGGTTGATTGCTGATGGCAAAAGATCGATAGCTGAGGGACAGGCGAAACGAGTGACCCGCATGGTGTGGTGGTGAACGCGTTACTCCCCGGAAAGGGCAATAGCGCGTTCGATACCCACCGCAGGCACCTGCGGTCCGGTGTTTTGCAAATATCTAAGCATCATTGGATTTGTTTCTGTTCCTGGATTCACGGATAACGGAACGACTATTTTCGAATGCGGCAGCTATGTTTGTCTGAGTCGAGAAGTTAATGTGATCAACGGTAGCTTCAGAGTCAAGCAGTGAGAATCGAGCAGCTTGGAGAACTTCCAAGAGCGTTGAGAATGCAGTGAATCGGAAAAGAAAATAACCACCCACATCCGTTGATCCTTGACACCCTTCTCTCTGACTTGGTGTATACGCCAAAAACCAGGTCGTTACGTAACCAAGACGAAAGACCGCTCAGCATTGTAGAACGCGGAACATTCCCGATCTACGTCAACGATCAAAAATCAGAGTCGTCGTTATGCACGCCAAAATGTCGATTTCGCTCACCCCTGGAAAGAGGGTAGGTTTGTGCATGGGGCTTATGATCGAACCAGCCACCGGTTCAATTTGAATTACAGGGCATCCTTAACCACGGCGCTGCATGTGTTTCCTAATTGAGACATAGAATGGTTACTGAGGGAAGCCGTGCAGTTCACTGTTTCTCTTGATGAGCAAATACGAGGTTGGTATTACAAGATTTACTAGTACAAAATAGCTGACGCTTCGGCGGCTGCGCTTTGTTCAGAACCTAAAAAGATCAAATTGATTGACAATCTACTCAGCCACACACTTTCGTAACCTCAGAGCTTTATTACGTCAGAGGCTATGAAAGTTTTGGCTGAGTAGACTGTATGTCAATTTAACCTTTTTCAAGCTCTGAAAAAGGCCGAACCGTCGAAACATCAGCTATTTAGTATTTATAAACTCTATGTAATGCCAACTTGGTGAACGCTCATCAAGAAACCCTGTTAATTATTGATGAATTCCAAGGGTAATAGAAAGTCGCTCTTGAGAAGCTATATGGCTGTATTCTTTCATTGATAAGCTAACACGAAGTTGATAAAACACTTTATTCGGCTCACGTTCCAGCGCTCTCGACTTCCTTACATCTGAATTGATCAGAGCCGATTGTCCACAGCTCTTCCTTGTTCCGATGTGAGTCTTCGCGATCGCATCGAGACAAATTCAGTAGAGCATCGCCCGAACTAATTCACTCGACAGTGCTCTTCTATACAGGAGAGTTGTTGCTGATAGTGATTGTCCGTTTATTACAACTTGTTTTCTCCTGACAATCCGTCCTGCGGCAGTCTGTATCATTATCAGTTAGCACATAGCGTAGCAATATTTCAACAACTGACTTATTGTACATTAATGATAGTTCGTTTACTTTCACGAGAACGAAATTAAGGATGAAGGAGGATCTGGAAAATGTTCAAGGCGAAAGGCTGTCAGAAACCAACTTGGCAAACTGGTAACGAAACAAAACGCCCTCAGAGGCAAAAGAACAGCGTAGTTTCAACTGAAATAAAGACGAATCTAAAAATAAGGATGGAAATTTTAACATATACGCGACCACGATTGATTTCATGGGGGCTGCGAACCAGCAAAACTCTCTATGATTTAAATATAGCAGTGCTGCTAATCGTCGACAGCAAGTTATAGGATTGAGAACATCACAGACTTATAGAAGAGACTTTGTCTTATTCATCAAGAGATATAACACTGCTAGTGTTTAGTTTAGTTTTTTTTTTTTAGTTTTTGTTTTTTTTTCCACTGTTCAGTTTATGTGCTTAAGTTTATCATCCAAACATTTCTCTCAGCGTATGCTACGTTTTACAACTTCGATTGTGTCTATCTCGGTTTATCTTGTATGTGAACATTCCGTAGCATAACCGTGACACGTAATAATTGGGTGCTTGGATACTTGGATAGGCCATCTTCACTGCTTTTGCGTACTCCAGCGGAATTTCCATCTTTTCGAAGTTTCGCTGGTTTATCCATGATGGTTCCTCCGCAGTCTCAAAGTCGGCTTAGCCAAGGTCTCTCTCAGGTTGTCACCACCACAGGCTGTGGCCGGTCTTGTGGATCAAAGAGGGATTTCTCACC